TGGCTAGACCAGAGGATGTACACTGGTACAGATAGGAACTGGAAACACAGGGAATCAGTGGTGTGAATGGCGATACTGGGAGGGTAGAGGGAGAATGGGATGGAAAGGGAACCAATTACAAGGAACTATATGTGACCTACTCCCCAGGGGACGCACAACAGAAAAGTGGGTGAAGGGAGACGTCGGACAGGGAAGGATATGACAAAATAAACAATTTATAAATTATCAAGGGCTCGTGAGGGAGGGGGGCACGGGGAGGAAGGGGGGAAAAATGAGGACCTGATGCCGGGGGCTTAAGTGGAGAGCAAATGTTTTGAGAATGACGAGGGCAATGAATGTACAAATGTGCTTTACACAATTGATGTATGGATGGATTGTGATGAATCGTATGAGGCCCTAATAAAACGGTTAAAAAAATTAACAACTATGATTTACTTTTACAAAGTCACTAGTTCATTAACGCAGTTAGTTGTTCAATAAATGTAAATCTGAACCCTTGTGGCATTGTCAAGTAAGCATTGAACTGCTACATACTTGCATGGTGGACAGTTCAAACCCATCAGCCTCTTCTTGGAGAAAGATGACGCTTTCCGCTCCACAAAGGTACAGCTTTCGAAACCCTGTATAGAAACACTATGATTTGCAACCCTCCTCAGTGGAGGAGCCCTGGTAGTGTACATTATAGGCTGTGATTTGACATGAGGTACAGTTCGAAACCACCAGCACCTCTGTGGGAGAAAGACTGCTTTTGTAGGGACTGGGAGCGCTTACCCCAACAGTGGAAGGAGACCAGATACAAGGCTGCAATAACAAGAGAGGTTTTATTTGTACTAGCTTAAGCCAGCGCTCAAGTCCTCAGGTACTCAACCACTCGCACCTTCTTGGACAAGAACCCTGAACAAAGAGAATGCTGTCGCTTATATGCACAGGGCCTACGTAGCCAGGGCGTTCCCAGCACACCCCTCCTGCTTTCCGCTGATTGGCTTGTTTGTGGTGGGTTTGCAGTTTGGTCCTTTGTGTTGTTCCCTCGCTGGCTATGTCGTCTTCTCATTGGCAGTTTGGCCCGTCGTGTCGTTCCCAGGTTGGCTAGCCTCAGTCTCCGGGATTTTCCAGCTCTGTACTGCTAGAAAAAAAATGAAACCAAGGCCCACCCGAGGTTGCAGAGCCTGCCCTGGAGGTAATTTGGCTTTACACATTCTACTCCTGTTGTTACAGTTACAATCTCAGAAACCTACAGGCGGTCACAATGAGCCAGCATTGACTCAATGGGAGTAAGCTTTTTGTTTTTTCTCTGGCAATGAGTTTTTTATTTCTGTCCATTTGAGATTTTTCCTGTTAGCCCATTTGCTCTAATCTTGGGGAAGGGAGGGGTGTTATAATAAATTGATTAGCAAGAAAATTTAGCAATCTACAAAAAAATATAGTTGATTAAATAAATCAGGTCATTTCCCCTTCTCATTGAAGCTTGACCCTCCAAAAAAACCAACAACATGAATTCCTATGTTTGCAGTTGAGTAAGGCAAATAGCAGTTGTTAAGGAGTCCCTCCGTTCACGTCCCTTGTGTGTCAGAATAAGCTCTGTCCTTTTTCCAGGCTGTGACCTTTTGGAAGCAGATTGCCAGGCCTTAATTTGGAGGTAATTCTGGGTGAATTTGAACTGCCAAACCAGTTGTAGTTTGTGTACCCAGAGACTCCACCACCACCACACCACTCCTTACAAAAAATTCTTACCACTATTCATGGTGACCGTGCAGGACAGAGTACAACTGTCCCAGTGGGTTTTCTGAGACTATCACTCTTTTACAGATATAAAAAGCTTCATCTTTCTCCCATGAAGCTGCTGGTGGTTCTAACAGCAGCCCAATGCATAACCTGCTGTTCCACCAAGGCTCCTCACCCAGAAAATCCCAATATTCATGTAAGCAACTAGAAAACACACTTCCTTCTTTCAAGTAACTTATAGTTAAGATAAAATAGATGATTTAAAAAAATCATTGTATTTATTTTTAAGTATATGTATAAGATACTGGCAATAAAAGAGCCAACAAATGTGTCTTGGAAGAAGTACAGTCAGAATGTTCTTTAGATGCAAGGATGGAGAGAGTCAGTCTTACGTACTTTGTTGTCAGGAGAGAACAGTCTTTGGAGAAGGACATCATGCTTGGTAGAGGGGCAGCGAAAGGGAGGAGGGCCTTTGACAAGATGGATGGACACAGTGGCTGCGTGGATGGTCCAAACTTAAGAACAATGGTGCGGATGGCACAGGACTGGCAGTGTTTGCTTGGCTGTACAAAGGGTTTCTACAAGTCAGAACCTGCTCTTTGGCCCCAACAGCAGCAG